AAGTTTTATAATACTATTAATTAAAAGTACAAAATATTAAGCAAAATTTAGTTTAGTGGAAAACTAACATAAGGTTACGGGAACAACTCCATTAAAAGCACTTTAATTTGGAGGTTGGGATTATTCTCTTACCTTTTCTTCCCCCCTACTTCTAAAGGCTCGAGTTGGTTGAACTTTTGAGAGATTTCGATCTACAATTCTCCTTTTCTTGATCAACATAAAATCATATACAATCCTAATCTGTGTCAATTGTATGTGTCACTTTAATTATAAGTTGCGATTATTTATCCATATATACTACTCCTGGCCTATATGTTTTAGCTAACATACCACCAATGATTTAATATTTAATCTGGCAGCTAACTAACTATTTGAACTCATTTAATATGTATAACAATAATGTAGTTTTATATAGCTAATCATGTTCGTTGCTTTTTCCATAAAAAAGTCATGCAGCTGCCAGACAAAGAATTTAATGCTCAAGTAATTATGTTAAATACTTCACTATTGAAATCAATAACAAACAAAAGATTAGAATTTTCCTGGATTGAAGATCCCAAACTCACAGTCGCGCCGTGGAACAATAATCCACTGCCTTAGAGGCGAAATACGCCACCACCGGTACAAGTTTCCTAGTGACGCACGCCCCCCAAGTTTAACGCAACTCTCTCCGTAATCCGTGCACCCGAACTCGAAGAGTGAAATTGCTCAAGAACTGTTCAGATCTCAAAAGGTAGGTTTGTATTTTTGGCTAGAAAGTGAATGAATATCATGAAAAAGGTATGACTCGTATTTATATGAGTCCTGGAAATAGGAAACACGTAATCAAACCGACCTAGGAAAAAAGGTGGGCCCGATCGGGCGAGCTGCCGCCAGATCGGGCGCGAGATCAGATTTTTCCAGACGTAGCTTCGCGCCCGGTCGGGCGAAGCCCGCCCGATCGGGCGATCTGAAATCCCCATTCCGGGCGAGCCATCGGGCGAAGCCGCCCGATCGAGCTCGTCAAAACCTAGAGTCAGCCGCCCGGTCGGGCGAAGCCCGCCCGATCGGGCGGGAGAGATCTCGTAGAAAAACTCTTGTCCGTCGCCCGGCCGGGCAAAGCCGCCCGATCGTGCGCGAGAGTTCCCGTTTTTTCCTTGACCACCTTCGCCCGATCGGGCGAGAGCCATCCGATTGCATTACTATTTCCAACAATCCCCCACTAATGCGAGCGGATCTTCAACATGAAATCTGAACAGTAATGAAAGTCTTAGTACTTAAATGCTAGTATCCAAAGGTTTGAACTAATACATTAGTGCACAAGGTTTTCAACACTTCCCTAGTGAGTATCCTAAGATTTGAACTCCTAGGAGCGAGGAAGGGACCTTGAATACACATACCTTGACTTTAGAGCTTAAGCAACTCCGCCAATCTTGGCCAACACTTGGGCTCTCATGAGTACTTCAGGAAAACAATACTCCAGTCTTTCCTTGAGAGAGGCCACCTCTCGTACTCACGTAGGTGTTCGTCCTATGTGTTATTCACACACGTTCCCAGCAAATTCAAAGGTCTTTCCCTGCAGGCTTAAACGTGTTTAAGCACCTTGCAAACCTAAGAAATCCATGCAGTGGAACTAGAACATTAAGAACATAAGTTCAACCCTTCAACTTTCGGTGTCATTATCTTTCCTATTTTAAGAGCCATTGGGACAAAGGTCTTAACTATATAAGCACCTCCATCTATCTCTGCTCAGAAAACAACTGGACTAATGACATTAAGAGATAAAATCATCCTAACAGAATCAACTTACAACTCTTATAGAGTAATTGATTCAAACACATGATACACATACAACAAATCCACATGATTCATTTCAATGAAACAAAATAACCAAAACAGGTTCTTGAATTTATTATAACTAATGTATCATATCACATAGCTAGAATAGCTACCATTTCAAGTCATTACAACAAAGGTCCTAAACCCATACCAGTTGATGACTCCACCACTAGTCTACGACTCAAACCCTTAGTAAAAGGGTCTGCCAGGTTTTTCTCTGTTCGAACATAGTCCAACGAAATAACCTCATTCACAATAAACTGCCTCACAGACTCATGTCTGACTCTTATGTGCCTTTTCTTGCCGTTGTAAACACTATTTTTAGCAACACATATAGCGGCTTGTGAATCACAATGCATAGAAACAGGTGGTGACGACTTCCCCCACAGAGGAATATCAACAAGCAAATTTCTCATCCAATCTGCCTCTTGTGTAGCCAGATCCAATGCGATGAACTCAGCTTCCATAGTTGATCTAGCTATACACGTCTGCTTACCAGACTTCCATGAAACTGCACCCCCACTAAGGGTAAACACATAGCCACTTGTAGAGCTTGTTTCATCACTATCCGTTACCCAATTTGCATCACAATACCCTTCAAGAACCAAGGGATGACCAACAAAATTCAATCCCCAAGACATGGTTCCACATAGATATCTGAGTACACGCCTCAAAGCAACCCAATGTTGCTCACTAGGACAATGAGTATAGCGACTAAGTCTACTAACTGCAAAGACAATATCAGGGCGAGTGCAATTCATTAAAAACATCAGACTACCAAGCACCTTAGCATATTCAGTTTGAGACACACCGTCCCCCACATTTTTCACCAAAGCTCCAGAAGGATCAAAAGGAGTTCTCAAAGGAGGCAAATCAAAACAATTAAAGTTCTTCAGAATTTTCTCCACATAATGAGACTGAGACAGAAAATATCCCTTCTTGGTTTTAGTAACTTTAACACCAAGGATCACATCTACCTCTCCCAAATCCTTCATCTCAAACTTTGAATTTAAATATTTCTTAGTTTCATTTATGACACACATGTTTGTGCCAAACAGGAGCATGTCGTCAACATACATGCATAATATCACACATTGCGTATCATACATCTTAGAGTACACACATGCATCACTACCATTGACAACAAAACCAAAACTAAGAATAGTTTTATGAAATTTTTCATACCATTGCTTCGGAGCTTGTTTCAAGCCATATAAGGATTTCTTTAGTCTGCACACCTTATTCTCCATCCCAGGAACTACAAAACCCGGAGGTTGCTCCATGTAGATCTCCTCCTCCAAATCGTCATTCAGAAAAGCTGTCTTAACATCCATCTGATGCACAATCAAATTGTAAGATGAGGCTAAGGCAAACAAAACACGAATAGTGGCAATTTTAGTCACCGGAGAATAAGTGTAAAAATAATCAAGGCTAATTTTTGAGTGAATCCTCTTATCACCAATCTAGCTTTGAACCTCTCCACGGTGCCCTCGTTTTTCATCTTTCTCTTGAAAATCCACTTGCACCCAATAGCTCTACTCCCTTTGGGCAGATCCACAAGCTCCCATGTACCATTTGACATGATTGAGTCAAGCTCACTGTTTACGGCTTCCTTCCAGAAGGTTGCATCAACTGAACTCATAGCTTCTTCAAACGATTTCGGATCTTCATCCACAACCTGAAGACACAGCATGATCTCATCTAGATCATCTTCGATCTCACCTAGATTTCCGCATTCTGCTATAAAGGCTGTTAGGAAATCAGGTCCAAAGCTTGTCTCCACTCTTTGCCTTTTACGTCTCCTAGGTTGAATCTCACTTTCAACCCTAGGGGAAGCAAAATCTGGCCCTGCAGATGAAGGAACTGAAGAAACATCGTCAGTAACTAAATTTTCCTTCAAAGGAAATACCTGTTCGAAGAACTCTGCATCACGAGATTCAGATATAGAGCGATCTTCCAGACTCCTAAACCTGTATGCGGCACTATTCTCAGCGTAGCCAATGAATACTGTATCATAGGTCCTAGAACCTATAGTTGAGCGCTTGAAAGATGGATAGCCCACCTTAGCTAGACACCCCCATACTTTCATGTGATTCAAGTTTGGAGCATAACCCTTCCATATTTCATATGGAGTCTTGTCTAACTTCTTGTGAGTTACTCTGTTCTGTACATAATTAGCTGATAGTACCGCTTCACCCCACAAATTATCTGGCAGCCCGGAACTTAGGAGCATTGCATTCATCATTTCCTTCAAGGTCCTATTTTTCCTCTCTGCCACACCATTTTGTTGCGGAGTATACGGGGCCGAAACTTCATGAATTATTCCCCCACTTTCATATAAGTCCTTGAGGAAATCGGAGCCATACTCTCCACCCCTGTCTGAGCGAACTCTTTTTATTTTCCGCTCCAACTGATTTTCTACCTCTGCCTTATACACAAGGAACTTGGACTCAGCTTCATCCTTCGTCCTCAGAAGATATACCCTGCTATATCTAGAGCAATCATCAACGAAGGTGATATAGTAGCGTTTCCCGCCTCTACTTTCCAAGTTCTTAAAGTAGCACATTGTGAAGAGCCAAGGTCTTCCCTGAAGTCAGCTTCAGAACCACTTTGCCCTTTCCAAGTACCTCAGAGCTGCTTGAATTTCCCATGTAGACTTGTTCACCTTCCTTTGCATCTTCCATACTGGCAAATAGGTCCTTGTTAGCACAAAAGTGTTTAGATGCACCAGTGTCCACAATCCATTCACTGTTGTTCTCAATCAGATTGACTTCAGAGACAACTGCAACAATGACATCTTCATCCTCATTCTCAACCAGATGAGCATGATCCTTGTTTCCTCCACTAGATTTCAGATTTTTCTTCTTCTTATTTTTGCACTGTGAAGCAAAGTGCCCCACTCCACCACATGACCAACACTTGCCAGTGACTTTCTTCCCAATCTTGCCCTTAGCTTGAAGATTTCCCTTCTTCTCAGAGTGCCCCTTCTTGGCACGATTATCACTTGCTTTCTTGTCAGAGTCAGCACCAGATTCAACAAGGTTAGCCTTGATTGCTAACACATTTTTAGGCTTAGAGGAAACATCCTTAAGCCTATTGGCTTCCTCAATCTTCATGTGGCTCACAAGTTCTTCTAGGGTTAGATCCCTCTTTTTATGCTTGAGGTGATTTCTATAATAAGACTAGGAATCAGGCAATTTTTCAATCAAGACATTAGCCTGAAGGATTTCACACATCTTCATAACCTGAGCAAGAATTTCAGCAACATAATTTTCATACACATGGACTTGGTCCATGATAGGCTTAGTATCAACCAATTTAAAATTCAACCAATTTCCAGTCACATACTTCTTTTTCCCAGCATCATCAGCACCATATTTCTTCTCTAAGGACTCCCACATCTCCTTAGCAGATTTCATATTAACATACAAATCAAATATGTTGTATTTCATGCTGTTCAAAAGATGACCTCTAACAAATTTATTATCACGATCAAATTTCTTGATTTCAGATTCATTAGCAACAACAGTAGTGGTCATCTGACTAGAGCTAGATTCTTTATTCCCAAGAACAGGAGTACTAGGAATTTCAATCATGGTATTGGTTTGCTCAATAGGTTTTGGAGCATCCCTAAACAAAACATAATCAATTTCTACTTGTTCAAAAGCAATTAACATCCTTTGTGACCATCCCTTATAATTAATTCCATCAAGAGACTCAACCTTAGACAAATCTAGGTATAGACGAGTTTGAGAATTGCTAGTCATGATATCAACAGAATAAATCAAAATATTTCGCTTCTAAATTGTTGGTAAAATAACTGTTGAAATCAATAACAAACAAAAGATTAGAACATTCCTGGATTGAAGATCCCAAACTCACAGTCGCGCCGTGGAATAGTAATCCACTGCCTTAGAAGCGAAATACGCCACCACCGGTACAAGTTTCCTAGTGACGCACGCCCCCAAGTTTAACGCAACTCTCTCCGTAATCCGTGCACCCGAACTCGAAGAGTGGAATTGCTCAAGAACTGTTCAGATCTCAAAAGGTAGGTTTGTGTTATTGGCTAGAAAGTGAATGAATATCATGAAAAAGGTATGACTCGTATTTATATGAGTCTTGGAAATAGGAAACACGTAATCAAACCGACCTAGGAAAAAAGGCGGGCCCGATCGGGCGCGAGATCATATTTTTCCAGACGTAGCTTCGCGCCCGGTCGGGCGAAGCCCGCCCGACCGGGCGACCTAAAATCCCATTCCGGGCGAGCCATCGGGCGAAGCCGCCCGATCGGGCTCGTCAAAACCTTGAGTCCGCCGCCCGGTCGGGCGAAGCCCGCCCGATCGGGCGCGAGAGATCTCGTAGAAAAACTCTTGTCCGTCGCCCGGTCGGGCAAAGCCGCCCGATCGGGCGCGAGAGTTCCCGTTTTTTCCTTGACCACCTTCGCCCGATCGGGCGCGAGTCATCCAATTGCATTACTATTTCCAACAACTTCTCTTAACAAATATTTACATTTGACTTTGGCTCGCGATCTGTTTGGTAATTCGCTATTGGCTTATTAATATAATTGATTGTATTAATTAGTCTGGCTAGGTGGTTATGTTAGCTGATTTAACTAGCTACTTGTAAATAGCTTATTATGTAAAAGTATTTGATAATTAGTTGTTTTAGTGTATTTAATATCCAAAACAAGCTAATTTCAAATGCTCTTTAATAAGCTATTTACTAACCTCTAAATTAGCTTATTAAAATACTCAAACCTCTAAATCTCTAATAGGGCTCAATAAGCTAAAGCGGTAGTCGGTAGGGGTACCAACCTACCAAATCATATATTTGTTTTTTTTTTTCTTTTTCTTTTGTTGAAATATTTGCTTCTATTGATATCATTAGGTGTTAAATTATCTAGTGAATTTGTATTTTAGAATCATCCTTTCACAATCTCACATACCCTTTGTATACGTGTACGTGCCCCTACTTAGAAGCATGATTGAGTATATTAAAAAAAAATTATATTTACCTAACATTTTAAATTATATTGTTACTAACCACACATCATATTCTTATAAAAAATAAAAAAAATAAATAAAAAATAAATAAAAAAAAAATTTGGAAAAAAAAAAACCTTTTTCAATTTAAGGGAAAAGGGAAGGAATAAAATAATACGAAGTAGTGAAGTACCATACATTACAAAATATAAGCAAAGTGAACATTACTACATTCGTGAGTGGAGTATGAAAATTGAAAAACACAGATTTATTTTTGTATTTTTTTTCTTATAACCTAATTTTCAATTCTTTTGATTTAGTGTAAAATGACTAATATGTTAATCATTTAATCTTTACTCCTATAAAAATTGGCTGTATGAGTATGAAAAAGGATCATGTAAGAATTGTGCCACAGATCTAACATGGACTAGATTAGACATACACTATGGTGGACGGAAAATCGAATTAGTCTAGAATTAAAACCGATTTTTTTTTTTTCATAATTTAAAATACATTTAAAAAATAGCTTAGAAGCATTTTGTAATTAATATATCTTTAAAAAATACTTCTACCGTTTTTTTAGTTGATACCGTTTGATTTTTACACTATTCACACAACACGCTTTGACTCGCTTTTGTGGTTTATAGATACGACAAAACATATTCATGTGGGGTCTTGTTTGAATTGTTTCATTGTATATTTTATTAATATCCACTTTTTACGGAGTATAATTTTATAATGTTAATAATTAGTGATATTAATCGTTAAAAACATGTATTGATAAGTGGATAATAGAAAATTGATACTCCGTATTCCGTATAATATACTCAAGTGGTTAAAGCTCATTTACCGATTTTAAGAGACTCTGGGATAGATACAATATAATTATCAGAATTTGCATGCATATCCTTGGCTAGTCTGCATGTACATGTAGCAAAACACATATGCATCTTCAAGGTAAGTCCAAAAACAACATAAACTGTATAAAGGTTGATCCCATCAAATCAAGCAGAAGCAGTAAATGGTTTCCCAGAAGACAACGAAAATTATAAGTGCATGTTAATTTTTTCAGATTATTACTCGTATTATGGTTGTTTTGTCATTGTCTGAATAGGTGCAAACAAACTCCCACCCACCTTTAAATAGAGATTAGATATATATTAGCTTAACTTTGATAAGAAATTTGTGATCGTCAATGAAGCAACGTGATTTATTATGTTACATTGATCCCCACCTCCCAAAATTTTGTGAAGCATGTATAATTATGATTCATTTTATGGTCCCTCCAATGCAACACACCAAAAGGTTTATGGATGAGCTCCGTACGCTTTGTTTTTTTTAACTTATTTTCAATTTATTTTTGGACATTATTTTACTTTATTTTAGTTCAATTCACTCTAGCGTAGAAGAACTGAAGAATAGAGGCTTATGAGTCATTCTCAATTTTTAACACAACATCGCAATTTACCCTTATAGTTTCACATATTTCATTTAATCAATTGCATCTAAAATCTTTTAATTAAACAAAAATATATCTACTACTCGTATGAAATTACAACTTCCTCATGTATCCCAATCCCTAGCTTCCCTTTGACGATTTAAAGCACATACAATCCGAGTAACAATGTCCTCTGCAATTCTGCATAGCTTAATTAGGAATAAGGTTCTCTTAAGGGATAAATTATCTATGAGTTATTTCACTAAAACAAGTAAACTTCTAAATTGAAACTAATCTAGCTAAGGGCCTGTTTACTTCCGTTGAAATTCAATTCAGTTCAGTTCAGCTCAATTCAGTTCAGTTCAGTTCAGTTTAGTTCAGCTCTTAATTTACGTCTAATGATATTGTTAATGATATAAAGCCAAATTTCATTCTTTTAAGCTCTTATTACAACGACGACAACAACAACAACAACAACAACAACAACAACAACAACAACAACAACAACAACAACAACAACAACAACAACAACAACAACAATAATAATAATAATAATAATAATAATAATAGGGTAGCAGCTCATATATTCACTAGAGTAGGCTTTGCTATAGCTAGAGGAGTGGGGGCCCAGATTGTATCTCGGCTTCCCACTAATTTATTGTAGGTTGTATGACTTTTGTTTTTGAGATTATAATAATAATAATAATAATAATAATAATAATAATAATAATTGAAATAATAATACTACTAATAATAATAATCATCATCAATAAATAATAATAATAATAATAAATAATAATCAATAAATAATAATAATAATAATAATAATAAATAATAATAATAATAATAATAATCAATAAATAATAATAATAATAATCAATAATTAATAATAATATTAATAATAATAATAATATTATTATTATTATTAATATGTACATTTGTATATACACATATGTATAGTAATAAATAATCAAAAATCACTAATCCGTAGTTAAAAATCACTAATTAATAAGTTCAGTTCAGTTCAGTTCAGCTGAGTTCAGTCAATCGGAACAGGCCCTAAGTGACAAGCTATATGTATTACTCCCTCCAGCTAAAATGAAAAAGGGGGTTTTCTATATAGTAATAACCATGTTAATTTCGCTTTTCTACGTTGTGCCCCAACATATATCACTTTTTACACTGTAATCCCAAGATACATTTTTTTTTCATACGGCAACTTTGTCGTTATCCCGCCGTTAAAAATTCCGTTAGTGAGGCCCACTCTCAATTTATTAATATTTTTTTATCGATTTGTGCGTTGGAAAATGTTCCATTAAAGGAACCAAGTGAACTCAAATTTCACAAAAAAGTAACGTAAATGTCTCGTTTTGCGTATTAAAACCTAAACACTTAAATCAAGACATTTTTTAATAAGCAAAACGAGACATTTGAGTTTTTTTTTTTTGCCAAATCTGAACTTAATTTGTAAGATCTAAAATAGCCCTAAAATCTTAAATGAAATATTTTTCAATGCGCAAATCGATAAAAAATATTAATAAATGGAGAATGGACCCCCACTAACGAAATTTTTTAATGGTGGGATGACGGCAAAGTTACCGTATGAAAACAAAATTATAATAGGGGTTTCAGTGTGGGAAGTGAGATATATTGGGACACAACATAGAAAAGTTAAATTAACAGGTTACTATTACCTCCGTAACATATTATTTGCAACGATTTGATATAAAGTAGAGAGGAAAATGTGTAATCATTGTAAATAATATGAAACGAAGGTAATATATAGAAAAATCCAATGAAAAATCAGTGAAAAGGGAGCTTTGAAACCTCCCATTTTTGATAAGGTTATTTTAAGCACGTTTTTATTTCAGCCGCAAAAAAACAGCAAACGCAATTATCTTTGGAGAAAAAGGGGGAAGTGGTATTTTCAAGAAATAGCAACGCTAGCAACTTATTAGCAAGTATGCATGTGTTACTGTGTTAGAGAGGATGTGATATGAAAGCTACCTTTTTTAATTAAGTACACTTCACTGCTTATTTTATGTTAAATTTTCCAATATATGATAATTGATACAAATTGATGTACTAGTAGTACTACCTCCGTTTTTTTTATGTGCAACTTTTGCCATTTTAGTCCGCTTATAATTATGTGCAACTTTCTATTTTCTTTCTATTTTTAGTAAACAAAGACCCTAAAAATTACAAATTTGCCCTTACTTAAAAATTCAAATTTTCTTAATATTACCCTTATTTTATTTTAAACACAATAACTTTTTTGTCTAATCTAAAATAATTAACCTAATTTTACCCACCCATTTACTCATCTCTCTACCCACCAGCCATCACC